GTACCCGAAAGAGCGGCCCGAGCTCCCCGTGGGGCGCGGGCAGGCGGGGCCCGGCCCCCTTACGGGATGCTCCGGGTGGGGATGGGGAGTCGCAGCGCCTCGCAGTTACCCTGTCTATTTTCCCCTCGTTAAAAACTCGAATATTTTTTTTTCCACCTCCTTTGTCGGCCTCGGGAAAAAAAAAAAAAAAAAAGAGTCCATCGAGATTCCATTCCTCAAGGAAAAAAAAAAAAAAAGGAAAAAAAAAATAAAAAGCATCGCTCCTGCCTGCACAGTTCATTCGCCGCCTTCTCGAGTCCCTCGGAAAGCAAGATTAAAGGGGAAAGTCGCAGCTGTATATTTATGTTTTCATTGCTAGAAGGGAATTGATTTCCTTGCATTTATTTTTGTAGTTGCAATACACAAGGGCGGATTTGCGTCACCAAAGCAACTTGCTGGTCGAGATAAAGTTGCACAAATATTGAAAAGGGAAGTGCTCGCGCTCATTATGAAGTTTTTCTCCGGAAGAAATAAGGATTTCTGCTGTATCCTAAAATACTAAAGCCGCTTCTATTTTTGGGACAAATCTCGCAGGCACATCCGCTCATTTAGTCCGAGTTGGAACCTCTCAAAAAACAGGAGATGACCTGGACTGCAGCGAGCCCCGGGTTTCCTGCAGCCTTCTCCCTCCTTGCGCGGGGAGGAGGGGTCGCCGCCTCTCCCCGGCCAGCGCGGCCCCGCTCCTCCTCCCGCCGGCCGGGGAGGAAGGTGCGCGGAGCGGGGAGGCCTGCGGAGGCCTTTGGGGACAGGGGACAGCCCCGTCCCCCGGGGAGAAGGAGCGGCCTGGGGCGGGGAGGCAGGTGCTCCTGCTTTGGCCGGCGGAGGATGCGCGGGGGCGCAGCGGGAAGGCACCTGCCCCCGCGGCTGGGGTCGCCCGGCTCCCTCGCCCTCCCGAGGCCCAGCCCGGGGGGGGGGTCAAGGGTTTCGGTGCGACCCATTTAGCGCTTCTTTTCGGTTTGTTCGGGTCCCCGCGGGGTGGCGAGCGTGGAAGGTGCGCATCTCCTCCGCGGGGCGGCCCGCGGGACCCCCGCAAAGTCCCTGACCCCCGCGAACCAGCCCTTCCCTTCGGGGCTGCTCATCGCCGGGGCGAGCCCAGCTTTGAAATAAGCTCCTAAAAATAGAGAAAAACAAAACAAAACAAAACAAAAAACAAAACCCTAATGTTTTGGTTTTTTCCCCTCTCCCCGACTGCGTGGCGAGCGGCCCCAGAGTGGTACAAGGGCGATGGCAATTAGGGGAATAATTAGAGGCAGGGGGTCACAGCGGGCAGAGCAGGCTTCGTTGATGCGCGGCTCTGCCCGGCGGTGGAAACGGCGGAGAAACCGGAGTCGTTTGATCCGGTTTGAGAGCAAGGGGCTGGGGTCAGCGGCGGGGCGGGGGGGTGTGCACAGAAAAGGGGCTTTCCGCTGTGGAAGCAGGAAAAGTTCAAACCTCATCAAACCCTTTCTTTCGCCGCCTTCGGTTTTGGGACACATCTTGGCAAGGCAGCCCCGTCTTTTCTTTTTCGGTTTCGTCTCCATAATGAAAAGCGAAGCGAATCAAAGCGGTGCCTCGGCTTTTCCCGGGGCACCGGCCTCACCTTTCCCCGTTTGCAGGGCTCTGCCCAAGGAAAGCGTTCGCTCTCCCTCGCAGGTGGTTTCAATATTCACACAGAAGCTACGGCTTCATACCTGGCCAAAGGAGAAAAAAAAAAAAAAATTAGTTCGCCTTTCTGGCGGTTCCCCGAAAACCTTCAGAATTTGGGAAGCTATTTGACAAAAAAAAAAAAAATAAAAATTGAAGCAAAACCAAAGCAAACTTGCAATCGTCAGACCCAGGAGCCTGCTTAAAACGGCAGCGACTGGTTTACGCGTAAGAAAACTAAAATTAAACAAATGGGTATTTTTTTCAGAGCCAGGTCGGGATAAAGGTGGATGTTAGAGGGGAGGAAAAAAAAAAGGCACAAAAGATGCTTTGATAAATTTATCCCTAAAATATTGCAGCGAATACAGGTTATGATTGTGTTTTAAGAAAATGCCAGTAATTCGGTTGTCAAAGGTTTGCAAAATTACAAACTAATCTTTAAGGTGAAATTGGTGTGGAAGCGGTCGCAGCCAGCTGTGGGCTGGAGAGCATAAAAAAAAAAAAAAAAAAAATCTATAAAATTACGCTGCCGACAAAATGGAATTAATTAATGAGTCGCTGTTAATGCAGGATCCAAAGCGTCCTGGGCCCGGAATAGCTCAGAGCTCACATAAATACATATGTCTCACGCGTGAGCGTAGAACTCATTTTCTTCCAGGCTCATTTATCCGGGAAGGAAACACATTTCCTTGGGCAACCGTTTCCAAGAGGACTCGACCTGCCTCCCTTCGGGAAGGGACAGTCGTCCTGCGCGTCCTTCTTTCCAAACTTTTGGGAAAAAGCGCAAAGCGCAGCGCACGGGAGTTGATTTTATTTTATTCATTTTTTTAAATTTTTTTTTTGGATGGGGAGGGTTGGGGTTCAAAGTCCAGGGAGGAATTTAAGGACGTGGGGGGATGTTTGGGAGGGGGTACCTTGTGGGGCAAACCCGGTCGGGGCCGCGGGGACGGGCCACCGCGGCCCCGGTCCTGCGTGGGCGTGTCGGCGGGCGGTTCTGCCCGGCCCCGCAGATCATGGATTGGGCGTGGGGAGGGAACGAGGATCCGCTCCGCAGCCGGGAGCGTCGCTGCCAAGAGAGAAAAAGTTTTGGGGAGGGGTGGATATTTTATGTTGGCTTTTTTTCTCTTTTTTTTTTTTTTTTTTTGGGGGGGTGGTTTTTTTTTTTTTTTTTTTTTTTTTTTTTTTTTTTTTTTTTTTTTC